GTGCTCTACACCAAGTGCAGCTGACTGTTCTTGTTATGTCTGTACATCGGGCACATCCGCTCAGCAGTGACATAATCTGATCTAAAGAGGAAGAAAGACAGTCATGCATTCTGGAAGAAGCTGGCCAAAAAGTTAGTAAAAAACTGAAAGCAATAGGTTGTGTCATTGGTGTAGGAATATTTCTGCCTGTATAAAATATGGACTGTATGCTTTCACCCTTTCTAAGGCTGCTGTTTTTGTTGCAAATTGTCTTCCTTTTGGAGTGATCTTGATCATCCTTCCTGGCAAAGGCTCACTCACCGGGTGGACTCCCTAGGATTTCTTTATGGCTAGACCAGAGCCCTGTTGCTTCTCCAACCTGGTAGAGATTATGCGTGCTGTAATACAGCTCACCAGCTGCAATCAGTCCCTACTGCGTGTCCTGTTGTACTAATGGTTCCTAAAGAAGAAAAATTAGTAGCCATTCTTGACAGCATACATCTAGCTGCATCCTGGTTATTACAGCTTGGTTCTTTTTCCTTACCAGCATCCTGTGCTGTTGACGGAAGCACCACTAAACCCACGCAAAAACAGAGAACGTGCTGCTGAAGTGTTCTTTGAGACCTTCAACGTTCCAGCACTATTCATCTCCATGCAGGCTGTGCTCAGTCTGTAAGTACCTCTTATCTTCGATGTGCACTTGCAAAATGTTTCTTGGAATCTTTTCTTTTTCCCCCCCACAAACAAACAGAAAGAAACGAACTGAGAAAGCCCACGTTAACATCTGTCTCGTGTCCCTTTGCTAGGTATGCTACTGGGAGGACCACAGGAGTGGTGCTGGACTCTGGGGATGGCGTTACCCACGCGGTGCCCATCTATGAAGGCTTTGCCATGCCTCATTCCATCATGAGGATTGACATTGCAGGCCGCGATGTCTCGCGCTTCCTGCGTCTCTATCTCCGGAAGGAAGGCTACGACTTCCACACAACCTCAGAGTTCGAGATTGTAAAGACCATCAAGGAGGTGACATAGTGTCTGTTTCTGTGCTTATCCACAAAGATTTCTGTTTATTGGAAGTCATCGCTCCCTAAAATGTAGTGGGAAGTGCCAGCCTACCTAGCTCTGAAACTCGCTCCTTTATCTACCAAAGGGAGGCTAGATGTAAGATGACTAAGGGACTGGAAAATCCCTCATATGAGGAGGGATTGAGGGGGCTGGGGCTTTTGAGCCTGGAGAATAGAAGTTCAGGGAGGATTTCATCATTGTATATTAATATCTGAAGGGAGAGAGCAAAGAAAACAGAGCCAGACTCATTTCAGTGATGTCTGGTGACAGGATGGGAGGCACAGACTGATGCACAGGAGGCTCCATCTGAATGTAAAGGAAAGCTTTTTTTTTTTTTAATGTAAGGGTGACTGAGCAGCAATTTTATCAGCTCTGATATCCTTCACTAGTATTTGCCTACTCTTCAAGCGAAGACTTTAGAAAATCCTTGGTAGTTTGGGATCGCAAGTGGGTTGCTGCTGTTCTTCTCTCTCTGTGGAAATAATTCACTCACGGTATTCATATTTATAAAGACTTTCTTTTTAATGCAGTGTTTAGTGGCCTTGTAGTTACGCAGCAGTTACCTTGGCTTCTCTTGTGTTCCAAGAGAAGAGGGCAGAGGTGAGACAGTGAACAGTAGCTCAGCTGGTGACTGCCCACCGTGGCTTTGTGGCATCACAGTTCTCATACAGACAGGTTGCGCTCTGATTTCAGCAAGGCTTTGTGTAGCTTAGGGCTAGCATTTGTGCCTTCAACGCTCAGATCAGTACTGCTGATGCCTGTCAGTTACTGCCATGCTGATGGCCTCCATCACAAGCTTTAACTGCTGCAGAGAACTCTGGGCTGTGCCAGCAGCCAAGGCTGGAGAACATCAATGAGCTGTTCTTGAGCCTGTGACCTAATGGAAAAAAAAAAATGTGATGGAAATAGCTTGCTTGTTCTGCACGGCTGCAGCTCACTGTGGCTGTGCAGGGGAGTGAGAGCTCTTCTGCCTGTTGCCCAGATTCTTTGAAGGAGACCAAACAGTGGAACAGGTTGTCCAGAATAGAGGATGCAGATTGCCTGCCGGTGGAATTGCTCCTAGTGTGATTGGATGTGGTTTTGGATAACCTGTTCTAGCTGATCCTGCTCCAGTAGGGAGATCTTTTCCAATCTCAGCTGTTCTATGATTCTGTTAGATGCACTTTAAATCCCCAAAATGTAACAATTTCGAATAGAAAAGCTTACCTATGTAAGAAAAATTATGGGCTGCTGGAGCAGTTTGAAAAGTAAAAGGGTTTGTTTTCTTTTTCCTGTAACTTAGAATGTGGTGAACAATAGGAATTGAGCTGTTTAGGCTATGCTAGGAAATTTTTGCTGCTAGCTATTAGTTATTGTTTCCTCTGAAACATAACAAGAGACTTTGTTCAAGCTCCTAATCTCTTGCTAAATTGCCTAAACCCACCTCTGTAGGTAGTTAATGCCATTAAAGGTGTTTTAGATGCCTGCTTTGCTTTGTACTATGAAAGGTTGAAAGTGCTCACAAGGTCATTATCCCACCAGTGCAGAGGGAGATTACTTCTTCAGCAGTGAGAGACAAAAACAAAAGCTAGAAAAGTAGTGACTTCAAACTGTAAGTAGTGACCTTCAAACCGTAGTTTGAAGAGCAGATAAGGTATTTTTCCTGATGTGAACCCAAAAGGTCTTTTCGTCAACACAAAATAGTACTGAAATTGGTGTCTCTGTAGTGAGAAAAGTATTTATCAGAGGTCTTTGGCTTTACCCTCCTCATCTCATTCTTTCTGGCTCTGCTTCTTCAGCGTGCCTGCTATCTGTCCATAAACCCCCAGAAGGATGAGACTCTGGAGACAGAGAAGGCTCAGTACTACCTTCCAGATGGAAGCACTATTGAGGTTTGTAAAAGATGGGAGATTTAGTGCAATGTGGGGTGAGACAGGATAATTTTAAAGACCAAAATGCATCCCAGGTTGTTGAGCTGGGGCACTAGAACTTTTAGGGAAAGAGAGCATTATTAGAAATCTTACTAATTCTACTAGAATTCTTGGGTAAGAGTAAAGCATGA